GCTATACGCGCCTTTTCACGCCAATTCTCGCGGCTGATAACGAGCCCCCCCCCCCCATTCTCCGACCAACGTTTTAAAGCCGCGCCACGGGAGAACTTAGCCGGCCTTGCCTTGCCTTGCCAACGAGACTATAGGGAGAATTTATAACGCGGAGCTTTTCTTCTTTTTCCATCCCCGTCTGCTGATTTAAATTGGGAATAAATATTGCGTTTAATTAAGGGCGGCGTGAAAGAGGTTGGAAAATTGTTTCTGGTTAACGATGGTGTTTGATAATGTCTCGCGATTCGAAATCGCGTGTATCGAACAATTTTCCGTTCGACAAAATAATGGATTTAAAATATTCAATACGCCAAAATACGCGATTGTTTCATTATTTATTTCGCTACCGTGTAGTATTTTTCTCGATAAAGGTAAAGAACTTTAAAAAAAAGTCCCAAGCTGCAATGTTGAACAACGAAAAGGAGAGATATATTAGATTTTTCCAGAAGATTTGAAAATTGTCTATCTCCGAACGAACGGTTTCGAAATGAAATTAAAGTCACGATCGATCGTTGATTTTCGACTTGATTGGCTAATGAGCCAATCATATCCCCGAGACGCTAAGAGTAGCCGAGACGGATCGTTAATTAGCGCCTCCCTCCCTCCATGTTTGCACCCGCGTTCCTTTCTCCTAGGTTAAGCGTCCTCGAGCAAGAATTCTTCTTTCTTCCTTTCTTCCTATACACTCGGCGCCCATCGAGGTTACGCCACTGTGTGCAGGGAGCGTGGGGTGCGCGAGTGTCGCGCGGGGTTGGTTATTTCACGGTCCACTCGGTCGACTCACACCCCTTACAGGCGGTGGCGGAGCCCCTTTCCAAATCCACCCCTAAGAATTAATTCGAGAGAATCGTCCGGCGGCCGAGCGACAGCCGCCTCTTCCTCTCCTCTTCCTCCACCTACCCCCTCGGATCATCTCTCCTTGCCGTAGAGGCCACTTTCTCCTCCTCCTCCTCCTCCTCCTTCTTCTTCTTCACTCTCTCGCGTCTTTCGCATTACCGTTCGCGTCGATCTAACTTCCTCCCCCGGGCTAGCTTGATAACGCCGTCGTCTCGACGTAGGGTCGAGATAAAAAGGGAAAGGGCCTGAAAGAAACGCGAGGAGGCCAGGGACAGGAACACGAGCAGATCTTTTTCATTGTCTACGACGGTCGAATGGATCGGTGAGACTGATAAGGCTAATTTTCGCTACCCTCCCGTGATTTTTCACCGATTCCTCTTGTCTTGGACGAATTTTGTGTAATTTCTTCTTCTTCTTCTTCTTCTCTGGAATAGAAAAATAAAGAGGAATCTTCGTTCGCTTCCTCCCCTCATGAACCGTTCGTGAAAATTTCGATAAATGATCGATTTCCAATATAAACCAACGCAATGAGAAATTTTTGGCGAATATTATATGGCGATTCGAGGAAACTTTAGTGAACTTCCTTTAATTCGAATTATTTGTCTTCGTTCGATACTATCTTCTTTCTTTCCATCTTTCGAGAATTCGATTCTTCTTCGATTGGAAAAACTGTATAGTTTAAAGTCGTACGAATTTTTCTTCGAGCATATCTTTATTATAATTGGAAAAAATAATCTATCTATATTACTTTTCTTACTTCTCACTTTTAGATCGTTTTTTCGTGATTCGACGTGGTGCAGAATCGATCGATTTGTACATCCAATGATTCCTCTGCGAACGACGTGTAGTGTTTCATCTGGACTGATTTGCACGCATATGTTCGCATGGACACGAACGACGGGTAAAAATATTTCACGCTGTCGGATGTCGGACGAAAAATTCCATTGGGACTGGGTTACAACGATCAGTCGAAATATCTTTCTCATTAATGACGATGAGTGATAGCGCCAATGTGTCGCCAAATGAACGTTTCGAGCGATACGTTATTCTCGACTCATCGACCGCCATTTTTCAGGGGCTACGTTGTTGTTGTTGTTGTTGTCGTTGTACAGGACAGATCGAAAACTTTACAAAACATCGATTCGCGATCTCATCCTTTAAATTTTAATCTTTGTTCGTGCCAAAATACTCTCTCTTTCCTTTCATCCTAATTCGTATATTTATTCCGTTTTCGTGTTCCTTCCTAACGTTTAACGAGTTCGTTTCAAGATTTGTGAAACGCAAATTTTGTGCAAACGCGTTTGCAAAAAAAAAAAAAAAGAAAAACAAAAAAGAGAACAAGAGGAAAGAAGGAGGAAAGAGGCGAGGAGAGAAGGGAGGGAAGCGAATTATCAACGCGTTCAAGCGTTGGAAAAAAATCTCTGCTCGTCAAACGTCCATCATTGTCCCAGAGGAGGCCTTTGTCAGCGGCTCGGACGCCTGCCTCGGATCGCCAGGCCTGCCTCGCCTCGCGCTTTCTAATTTCGGCATCAAAGCAAGGCGCGAGCGATTTTCCGTCAATTGAACGTGGCTGCCTTTGGGACGGTTGACAACAAGCCGCCACTGTATATCACGAACCGTGCGTGGAAGGCCGGACGAGTTTGGCCGTTCAAAGCGCGTAATATTCCTCCGCCATCCGGCCGTCTAATGGCTCGACTCGTTTAACGCTCTTCCCGTGCTCTTCCACTCCCTTCGCTTCTGCGAAAATTTCCACTCCGTGTGCACACGGGAAACCGATCGTAGCTGGAACGAGGAGGGTTGATTATGAAAAAGCGGGCGACAAGTCGAAGAGTTGAAGGGAGAGGTAATTAGAATTCCGTGAAGTTTCGTGTCGGATTTCTTAGAAACGTTTAGACTGCAGTGTTTATTTATTTACTCGTTATATAAGCTCGATAGATAATTCTATTCTCGATATTTAAGTGAGATTTAAAAGATCGAGATCGATACGCTTTCGATCGATTAAATTTTTCGTATTGCATCGAAGAAAACGAAACTCGAGCGAGGTATATAACGAAGATAAACGCACACTGCGTTTAATCGCTTCTTCTTTCTGAAAATGGATTGTTCAAGGTAAGGGGATGGTGGTGTTCGAGACGAACGATGAACACCGGAGCGGAATGAATAAGGAATAATAAAAGCTGGGGCCACGCGATGACTCGAAGCGGGAATAATACGCATAATACGCAAAGTATGCTCGATTTGCAGCGGCACCTGCATCGGGTGCACAGGGCTGATCGATCTTCGTTGAGGCCGGCGCGTATGCTGTATGGGATAATCTGCGTGTATTTACTGGCAAAGGCTTACGAGTGTAACGTACGGTATTTTATTTTACACAGGAACGTTCCACTGCGTTCCGACGTGGTTCAGTTTTTCGCAGTTTTTGCAGCACAAAAAATTTGCTCGCTAAATCCTTTCTCTCTCTCTCTCGCTCATCCACTCGCGACAGACACACCCCCGCTCCGCTAACCCTTTCTCTCACGCACACCTTACCACCTCTTACGCCTTCCTTCTTCCGTTTTTACACCGTTTTTTACACAGACGGTCCATCCTCCATCTTTCAACGGGCAGAAAGTGGAGTCAAATATGTTACAATGGAGAGATAAAAGATTTCGATTTAACTTTCACTGTAAAATCATATCATTGTGTCAAATGATACGAAAATTCTATCTCTTGATCTTATCGAACAATTTCTCGAAGCGGATAAAGAAAAAGATGTCTCACAATCGGTGACCGATCGTATGGATGGATACCCACCCCGCAGATTTTTCCACTCTCTCTCTCCTCCCCCTCCGCTCGTTTTCCCTGTGTGGGCGCATAATCGCGAATATCGCATCGGAATAAACCGTCGTCGCCGATTCGTTTAATTTTTCCATCGATGTATATATGTATACCCATCCAGATTTTATCCAGCGGCCAGCTGTAATCGACCGCCTGTTGTTATTCCTCGGCCGCGTATCACCGCGTATTTATCTTTCCGCTCCCCTTCTCCTCCCGTGTTTGGCGAATTTTAAACGAGCCGACAATATCCTCCAAGAGATACCCTCGTTTTCCGCGCCTTCCTCCCCCGCGTAAACCGATTACTCCATCCCTCGTGCGCGACGATCAAACAAAGTGGATGGACGAAACGGATCCGGTCGACGGAGATTATTCGAGATGTCCAATGGATGGCTCGAGATGCGCCGCTCGCTTTCCTTCCTTCGAGATGGAAGTGCATGCTCGTGAAGAACGGAATAGTGTTACTGCCGCTATTTACAATTACAAGGAGGTAATTCCTTACGTGGATCTCGACGTATTGATATTCGACATTGAGGAGGACAACGTAAGTGTATGTGTGCGTGTGTGTGTGTGTGTGTATCTACAAATAACGAAGCTATACGCGATATCGGGGTCCACGGAAAGATACCTTGACGCTTGATCGCTTAACGATCAAGCCTATTGTACATCATCTTACATACTTGGTTTCCTTTTTTTACTTTTTCTTCTTCTTTCTTTTTTTTTACGCGCCTGTCCTCCCCCCCCCCCTCGATCGAAGCGTTCGACCAGGATTTTCTTTTATTCACGAATATCGAACGTCGAACGTTCAATCCCAAGTCTCGTTACGTTACAACAATTTTTTCCCTTATTTATACCGAGTAACAAAAAATGTTATTACAAAAAAGTGTTACATATCGCCAATAATCGAAATAATCATCCCTAATATCATTTCCTTCCGTTCACCGCTTTACGGACGAGTAGCGGCTCACCGTCACTCGAACTTGAACCACTTTTTCACCCTCGCTTCGAAGACTTCGAAGACGGGGACAGGGACAGGAGTTTGAAAAAAAAAAAAAAAGAAAAAAAAACCACCCGATTCCTTCCTCCGACCCATCCACCCACCCCTCACACGCACATCATCGCCTCGAACAATCATATGATAAAACTCACTCACGCGGAACGCTCTCATTCTCGAAAGTAGCAGCACACTGTACAACAATATAACATCCACCCGATATGATTGATGCGCGAGATCGCCGCCCGCCGCACCTGCCGCTCGCTCGATCGGTTCACTTCTCCTCGCTTCTCGGCCTGGCTCGAGGGGGGCGATGAGGGAAGGGGGAGGAGGAGGTCCGCGCGACCGATCGTCGAGTTCGCTACGCGTGCGGATGCGTGTGCGGGTGCGGGTGGGTGGGGAGGGCAAGGCCCGTGGAGGATGGCGTGGAGGTGGGCGGTGGGCCGGACGCGGTGGCGGGGGTTGCGGGCAGGTGATGGCCGAAGAAGGTCGGCCCCGTAGGCGGATAAGGCGGCGCTGCCGGGTGATAATAGCCGGGGGGTGGCGGCGGCGGCACGGGGGCCGGATGGTGGACGTGGGTGTGTGGGTGGGGGTGCGTGTGCGAGTGGGGGAGGGGGTGCTGGTGAGGATGGGCGGCGAAGAGGAAGGCGGGCGCGTAAGGCGGCGGATGCGGCGGGGTGGTCGGGACGGTCGGGCTGTTCACGTCCAGGCCCGGGTTCTGCTTCTTCCACTTGGTGCGCCTGTTCTGGAACCAGATCTTCACCTGGGTCTCGGTCAACGAGAGGGAGAGGGCAAGGTTCAGCCGCTCGCACACGGAGAGGTACCTCGTCGTCTTGAACTTGTTCTCGAGGGCGACCAGTTGCTCGTAGGTGAACGCCGTCCTGGCCCTCCTCGGCTTGCCGCCCGTCCCACCGCTCCCCCCGCCGGTCCCGTTCTGGCTGCCCTGGTTCCCCTGACCCTGGCAACCTTGAGCCTGGACGCCGCTCGACGAGGAGGAGGAGGAGGAGGAGGATTGCCTCTTCTTGCAGCTGGGCGAGGACGCGTTGTTGCTCGCCGCCGCCGCCGCCCCGCTCCCGTCCCGGCCGGCGTTCGAGGACTCTTGATCGGCCACCCTCATCTCCACGTCCTCGTCCTCCTCCTCCTCGTCCGCCTCCTCGTCCATCTCCTCCATCCCCGCCTCGGGCGTGCCCTCCTCGTCCTCCTGGCCGCTCCCGCAGGCGAACTCGCCCCGCGAGTCACCATCTGAAAACAGCAATCGCGCGAGTGGATTAGACGCGGGGAAAGAAGAAGAAGAAGTCGAGGTTGAGAAGACGGTGGGGGAGGGTGGTGGGCAAGGAAAGCGATACGGTGTTGCGCGAGGAAAATTGATTACACCGGTGGGGCGAGATTGGCAGCCGGGTGTCGGTTTACCCTGGTGACAAAGCGGTAACGCGATCCCACCCGTTGTTCCACGCCCGATCCTCCGCGCGGAAGACCAGGCGCGAACTCGATACCGCATTACACCAGGGAAAATGAAAAAGAGATCATCTCCATTTATCGGGGCGGAAAATAGGCGAGGAACGGGACTCCGCCGACTCGACCCTCTTATCCCATCAACAACGGCGCACTCGAAAAACGCGCTTGTCGGCGGTTCCACGGGGGCAATCAGTTTTAACGAGGGGCCGCGTCGAAAAGTTCGTTTCGCGAGCCACGTTTAATTTCATTTCTCTCCGTTTTGGTCTGAAAAGAAAAAAAGAATATATTTCTCGAACCAACTTAATACTTGACGACTATGCTCCAACGTAGGTAAACTCGTCTACCATCTGTTTACGATTCTATGTAATTATAATTCCCCCCTTCGTTGTTCCTCGTCGATCCGACGATTGGATGCACCCGACGACGTCGCAACGTATCCATTCGCGAAAATCTCTCTCGCATCTATCTCGACGTGGAAGACGTATTCCTGGGATTCCGGATCTCCGGGATCCGACAAACGCGCGGTTGAAACGCGCGAATCAGATGGAAAAGGAGAGAGTAATAAGCGGGCAGCCGGTCGGCCGGAATCAGAGGGAAAGAGAAAGAGAGCGGCCAATCGTTCGCTCAATGAGAGAGGAGATTGGAGATTCAATCAGCACGCAGATGTCCCGGGGACAGATATTCCCTGGCTCTGGTCCGTGGAGGCTGGGGGCGCCCCTGTGGGAGGGGGTGGGGATAGGTTTCCGGATAAAACCAGAGAGACGGAAAGAGAGAGAGAGAGAGAGAAGAGAGAGAGAGAGAGAGAGAGAGAGAGAGAGAGAGAGAGAGAGAGA